CGCCTCAGACGTCAACACTGGAAGTGTGAGTCCCTCAGTAGTTGATCCACACTAGGCCCATCAAGGACCGCAGCCCTTTGTCAGGACCAACCCTAATTACAGCCCGGACCGCCATGAAACGGCTTCCGCTCCGACATCAAATACAAAGTCATTGAAGTGCCAAGGCTTTCATTTCTTCCTCCGTTCCATTTGCAAGCGCAGCAGAAGGGCCGCAGCGTGGAGGAGGAAGTGCCGGGAAAAGATAATGGGATTTAGAAAAGAGCAGACCAAGAAAGAGAGTCGGACGAAGACAATGTGGAGAGACAAGAGCGACGAGACGGACGAGGAAAAATTGGAAACATGATAAGAATGATGGATGGGGGGGGGGCAGGTTGGAGGAAGGGGTTGTCAATGTGTGTGTGTGTGTGTGGGCTGGGGGGGCTCTGCCCATACACACAACAGATCTGCCAAGATGTTTGAGCTGAGAGTTAAAACATAAAAAATATATAGAAATAATTTCAGATTTTAGTTGAAGTTTTACTTCTGTAGAAGTAAATAAATAAAACTAAATAAATTCAGGTGAACTACAGTTGTGTTACCTTAATGTGAGTGCGTGCGCGTGTAAGTGATGGATATTTTGTCGTGTTTGTGACATCGATGGTATGCGACTGTGATAACAAGTTTATTCTGGTGCAGCAGAAAAACAGAACTGTTGTGAACACGGGTTCCTGTTTGTCAGTTGACGGACAGTAGGTTTACACTGCAGAGGATGGGTGTGTTTGTCTGTGTGTGGGTTTATAGGTGTGTGTGTGTGTGTATATATATCTGCATTCACTACATCAGGCGTGGCCAACCAGTCAAGAGGCTAAAAGCCACAATTATGACTGTGTTACTGCAAAGAGCCACATGACACACATACACGGACACACATGAACTTTAAAAAAAAAACTCTCCCACCCTTTTAAAACCCAGAGAAGTACTTAAACTGATAAAGTACGCGCTTTCACATCTACAGATGTAGATGATCTGCCCCGTTATCTGATCCTGTGTTTCAGCCACTGTCACCTGGTTACATTCCTGTCTGGTGAACGGCCGCTGCTAAACGCCAAAAAGTCAAAAATCAAACAAAAGCAAAACCACTCCCACACAGAGTTCTGGAAGAAATCTTCCTTGGTGTGATGAGATAACCGTCCCCCCACCTCCACCCTCCCCCCTCCCCCGTTCACTCAGATAATGATAGAATGATAATGTTCAGGTTCATACTCCACGGATGAATATACTTAATGATACCTTTTCACGCAGGGTTGTTGTGTGATTCAGGATAATAACGACACATAAAAAACAGACAAGCAAACAGTTCCTCATTCCGACCTGGATAACCATCCATTTATTCTCCCCCCTGATCATTTTAACATCACTTTGGCTGCTGTTTAAAAGCAAACAAACAAACAAACAAAAAAAATAAAAATTTGAAATAAAAAACATCCAGTTTAGAGTTTAGCATCTGAGCCGATGAACTAGAAAACACACACCAAAAGTATCAATCCTGAAGACATGACTTATTATTTTCAGCCACACACTCCCACGAGTTCCTACCCCCCATGTCTCCCCCCTCCCCCTTCACCCCATGGGTAAATTCTTCTGTCTGTGTGGGTCCTGCCCTGCAGCAGCCATGTGGGTCTCTCCAGGTATCAAAACTTCCACCTTAACTTTTTTTTCTCTCTCTCTCTCTCAATGCACCACAGCCAACCTCTGCTCATTTATTCACCGTCTCCTTCAACCCTCTCCACCTCAGCCTGTCCCATCATGCTCTGCAGGGTCTGAACTCAGATGACAGTATCGATTAGTTTCACTGAAGGGTGAAAAGAAAACAGTTTCTCCTCCTGACCTGCCTGAGGGGAAATGCACTGCGGTATGCTGCAGCTCCACACTGTTATGTGTCAGTTTGATTCACTCATGCAGAAAACTGGGGGTTTTAAACTCTAACTGTACCACGTGACGTTGATGATGTCACTGCACTCCTGCTGTCGAACCCCCGAAAATGTAAGGAAGTGGAAATAATAACGTGTTTCTTGCCACACGACGACCATCGTCATTGTGGTGCCTTCAGTGACGCCTGTGAAGGTCTCTACATCACTGTGCTGTACACGCCTCGGTAACTGACAGATCCACAGTGCCACGCTGTGGTTAGGACGCAGCAGTGCAGCCTGACGTTATATACAGTAGTGCTCCGAGGAAATCCGAAGAGAAGGACGATCTTAACCATCAATCTCTTTTAGCAATAACCAAATAAGTAAATATGAAAAAAAAAATTAACCATCACCTGTAGGACAGAGGTTATTTATTTACAGGCAAAAACTCAAGGCCTTAATGCCTTTAATGTAATAGTTTTTTCTATCGAACCAAAACTATGGAAACGCTGACTTTTCTTAATTCACATCATTCTTTACTTGCTTATGAAAGACAAACGTTGGTAACAAAACAAAAAAAGTCTCCGCGTTTTTGGCCCTCGATATATGTATTGACTTCGATATCGATTATTACTCATAAACCGATGTCTGATCAACGCAATTGGAAATAAAAATAGAAACAGTGTTTCTTGTATAACACTGTATAATTCAGGTAGCATCGGAAATTTGACAATTTGACAATGGAGGCTCTGAAAGTGAGCATTTGGATCAGGGCGGTTTTTAAGGGCGGAGTTTTAAAAAAAAGTGATGCTGAGGGTATTTTGACCAAAGCAAAGACATGAAACCGGTTTAATAATCAGAAACAAAATAATACAATATAAGATTTAACAAATAGCAATGGAAAACATTATTTTCCCAGTTTGAGACCCTTAAAAATAACCTGACTTGTATCCCAGTGCACTTCTATTCAGAGGTTTACGGTTAAAGTTTCAATAAATAGTGCGGCGGTTTTTAATTGTTTGTATAACTTGTGTATTCCAAAAGTACTGTGGTAACAAACGGTATTACAGTTCTCGCTTCAACCCAGCACGCAAATGGCGATAAAAAAATTGTTGTTGTGCTGTAACAAACAAACAAAACAAAAAATAGAATAATAACAACAAAAACAAAATGGAGGGAACAATAACCGAGAACCGTATTAGGCGCCAAAACTTTGCCTTCACTGAAGCCATAACGGGAACATCTTTAATATAAAAGCTACTTTGTAGAATGACGTAACAGAATCAATCTATATATAAAAACGACACCCTTCTCTCCAAACTGAACCGTTCTAATGGTGTAGTTTACCTTATCAGGACTTATTTGAATGCATCCTGAGCTCAGCGGCTCCTTCAAATGTAATTCGAGACGACAGAATAATGTGATCATGAAAACAGCATCATCATCATCTCTCTCTCACACATCTAGAGAGAAACTGTACAGCAGCAGCACTAACTTATCTTGATTTGATTTAGCTGAGAACCTCGCTCTATCTGCTGGAAATGGAATGCTGTGATTCCAGTTAGGAAAGATTTGAAATACTGGGTGGTGGCGAAGGTAACAGAAAGGTCAGCGATGTCCAGGAGGAAAATAAGACTCCGAGGAGCCAGGGTGTTGGTGAACGATGGTCGAGTCTATATACAGCGACTCTACAGCATGAACAATGATGAGAATATAAATATATCGCGCTATTTTGTCCAACGATATCGTGTCGATATTGTATCATTTTTTATTAACAATTAAACGTCAAATATTCATGGTATTGTTTGATTTTATTTTTCTTAAGATAATATTATTCTCTAGTGACTATCAATGTTCCGATGTTCGTTACCGGATGTTAAGATGGAACAACATCGTGTATTAACTATGATGACAGTTCTACTTCAATTACATTAAAAAAACCTCAATATATATCGTCGTGCCTGTAGTATCGCAGTATAACCGCAATATATCATATCATTAGCTGTCGTATTGCCAGATTCTTGCCAGTACACACCCCTATTTGAAATACATTGTGGAACTTTCCATACAAAAGTAGAGTAGATGTTTTAAGAACTATTTCTAAATATTATTGATATTTGTGATTATTATTGATGCGTTTAACAGACGACATTTTAGGGAACACTACGAAGTTGGACAAACACTGTGTGGGACCAATGACGACAAAGAAATGTTTGTAAATAAAGTACGATACTGGTATTGGTTAGTATTTGTACCGAATTGGCAACAATATTTTGACCACATTCATTCGAGTCGTTTTGTCTGTTTTTCTTTAAACTGTACATACAACAGTAGCTTACCAACCAAGCTCACAAACATACAACGATAAACAAACCACGATAAACAAACCGCCGTAAACATAACTGAAGATAAACAATTAATACCAATAAAATAAACAAAATTAAGAAAGGACAGGACTTACCAGCAGGACGTTGACGATGAATGTTCGTTTAGAAGTTTTCAAACTGCAAAATCCGTTAGCGACGCAGGTGGCTGTCGGTAGAGTTAACGCAGTGAAGTTCGTCCCGGAGCCACAGTTTGGCGGAATGTATTGGAAATAAACGTCCATCCATAGAAAACATTTCCCCGGAAACATTAATCCACACGCGTATTTTCCCCATTTTCTTCGTTTTTCATGAAAACTTCCACACCGCCATGTTGAATAACAAACAAACATTTGTGTTTTCCAAACTCCAAACATTTGAGCTGATCAGTTGAAAGATCAGGTGGGTGGGATTTCGTGTCACATCGAATTCCGATTGGTTCAATGAGCTGTCACTCTGTTTTAGACTGAAATGATGCGTTTCCTGATGATCTGGTTAAAGCTAAACTAAACTTAAAAAAACCCAAGTCATTTTATATTGTTTAAGTAAGTTTTGAAAAGAAATATGATGTTTGTAGTTTTTTCTTCTTTAATAACTTCCTTGTTAGCTCACAATTTAATCATTATACCGCGTATTAGAAAAGTACGGAGCCCCTGAAGGGACATGAGAAAACGTAAATAAATAAATGGCGCTCTTTTGTAAGTGTCAGATGAGCACGTGAACGTATCACGTAGAAAAGATAATTACGTGTTTTTACTCATTTTATTTTAAGACAGATAAAAGACCACTGGATGGGTGGATGGACACATTAGCATCAAGTAGCACTCTTCCTCACGGAGTAAGTGGTCACCAAAAGAAACCCATTAACACCTAAAGGAAATATCATTCACACAATCATGAATCCAGGGAATCGAACTGTATTTTTAGACACTGATACAAAACAGCAGTGACTTAGACCAGTGTAAGAAATTATTAAAACTTCACGTGTCACCGAAAATAACCCAATAGCTCTGCCACCAGAGGTCAGCACTGAGAGACATATATATACTAGTATTTTATTTAGTAGTATTTTCACAACATACCACATGGTATAAATGAGACAATGTTTCTGTTTCTAACAAGTTCTATTGAGAACGACGCGCACACATGCGCCCTCTATTGGACTCACTTTGCTTTTCATCTCAGGTGTTCATACAGATGAAACAACAACATGAAAAGGTCATTTTCCATCAGCTCCGTGGAAAACTCAGAACTTTAACCCTTCGATCCCACTCCCGGCCTCTGTCCTAAGCGTCCGTGTTGTAAACAGAAAGATCCGAAGCCAAGGTCACGTAGAGTTCCCAGGGAAACTGATTGACGGGTCTCTTGACCTTCCTCTCCTGACGTCTGCTCTCTGTGATCATCAGATGGACGTCCTCGTCATCCAGGATGCGGATGAGGTCGCCCTCGGGGTCGCGGTAGTTCAGGGCGATGTCGTCCGTCTTAAAAATGTGTCTGAGAGTCGGGGGACAGAAAGTCGGACACGGGGGAGGTGACACTGGGTTGGGGTCAGGTCAGTGTATATACACCTGCACCTGTACAATTAGTAATTAGTAATTTGACATTAATTGTAAATAATTTGAAAAAAATCTAAATGTAAAGCAGCAGCAGAAGCACAGAAAGAAAAAAAACGAAACATAAATATGAAGATAAACGGTGGAAATGAACGGACTGTGAATGTGACGGACCGATCATCAGACGACTCACCTGTTTAAATGACCAAATAATGAGAGACGGAAGACGATGAGAGGTTTAATGACCGTATGCAGGCTGTGATGGAGGTGAGGAGTGAGGAGGAGAGGGGAGGAGGAGGGGAGGGGACGGGGGGAGAAATCAAAAGATTCCTGCGGGGACTCATGTGATGAGCGAGGTGATTGGCAACAGGGCAATTTGCAAGTGCAAGACTGCCTTTGTGGAGGGAGGTGTGTGAGTGTGTGAGTGTGTGAGCATAGAAACAACAGGCATGAACCATCAACATCCTCTGGACCAGTGCTCCCCC